AAGGAAGGAAGGAAGGAAGGAAGGAAGGAAGGAAGGAAGGAAGGAAGGAAAGAAAGGAGCAGATACATGATATACCCTCCCAGGGCAACCTCCTCCTCATGACTTAATTTCTTCAGATAGGACATACCTCCCAGAAATCCCCTCCACCTCCCAATAGTCCTTTTTAATATATCAATCCATTAACCCATTGATGAGATCAGAGCCCTCAGGATCCAAKCATTTCCCAAAACCTCATCTCTGAACATTGGAGACAAACTCTTCAACACAGGAGCCTTTGGTGGATATTTCACATCYAAACYATAAGAGATTCATACTTGGTTAAATCTGTGGATATAGAACCCATGGCTATGGAGGGCAACTGCAATTCCTTTATCATTATGCCAAAAATTGTTTGCAAATCTTCATCAGTGTTACAAAGTTAGTCTCAAGCAAACTAGAAAAGACTTCTACAACTTCTACAACTTAGTCCAACCCCTGGCCCCCTTTTGGCTATATCTTGAATGACATTTGGGTCCATTATTATATACTTCATCTCCAAGTTCTTATTTCAATTGACCGATTAAATTGCTCTTCATTAAAATAAGCAGACTGCTGACAAATTATATAACCTGAATGTTTACCTAGCATTCTTCATGAAGAAGGAAATACTCCAAGGGAAAAAGAATTCATACTAGATAAATATGAGGGGTACTGAAATAAACTCACTTAAACCCATGTATATAATAATTTCTTTTCAATCTTTACAATCTTAATACCCATTGAAAATAATTTAATGGTTAAATTTATATCATAATAAAGACAATTCAAATTTAAAGGGTTTATGTGCAGAGCAGATTAAAAACTTTTGCTGTAATAATAATGTCATTTATGTAATAATCATCCTATCAATTAAGAATTTGTGTTTCTTTTCTGTCTCCTTCATTTTTATTAAATAATTTTAAAACTCTTTTAAGAAATTCACTTTTGATATGGAATGATAATATAAACCTGAAAAATCTAAAATATTATCCTAAATCAAATATTGTACTTCATGATGAAATTAAAATTGAATTATTTACATAATTAATTAGTGATTTTTCTTCTCCATCCTAATTACTATATCAGTGATTCATTGTACCATATAGTTATTGTTTTTTTCAATGGTGATCAAAGTGAGTATAGAGACAATGACTTTTCTATATGCATAGAAGACCAATTAAGTGGAGAAATKTTTCATATGCAACTAAACTATATTTTGGGCTAGATCAACCCACCCTTGACATTGTGACTACATTTAGCATGAGTCAAATTATTAAAAATATGGAGGTTAGTGTTCGACAGTCTGTGTGGGTTCAAATCAAGTTTCTTCAGATTTGTCCCAGACAAATAATGCCAGAGTTGCTGAGACAAATCTGAGATGTGTCATTTTAGGCAAATTAATAAATCTCTGTGAACCCRAATTTTTACATCTGTAGAGCTCAGCAGTCCCAACCACTTGGATCAAAGTCATCATAAAAGATAAAAATTAATATAGACTACTTTGTATATGTAAGTGCTCAACAAAAGTAAATTATAAAAGATTATCTAATAATACAATTATTACAAATTGTATTATTACTAATTGTATTAGAGTGTATACATTAAATTTAGAAAATATTCATTCTCTTAAAATATAAGAAAGAAACCAAGATACCTAATATGATAAAAAAAACATCAGATTATAGCCTTCTGGTAATCTTATTTTTATTGCAAGTGAGTTGGCTGTTTTGAATTAAAAAAAAAAAAAAGAACTAAACACAGTATGCACTTTTTCTCTTCAATCTCCAGTTTGCTACTCTGAGAAGACAAAGGACCCTGAACAAAAAGGCTCCTAGATTGCTTMTCTTGCATTCCTTAGTATCATGGCTTAAAAGCAACACCTAATGAAGAACTGTCTTTTCTTGCCTACAGACACAAAAACTTTAATTAAAAGAGCAGAAGTCATCTCTGAAGTTTTCTTTATTTCTTCTGTCTCTGTCTTCTTCAGCTTTGACTCTGGATTCCCTACAGATCTCAGTAGCAGGCTAACTCTGCCTGAAACTTCTCTCCTTCATCTCGATCTCCTTGTTCCTGCCAACCTCCTGTGGTTACCAAGCACATCTGAGAGGAGCCTGTGAATGGTATCTTCTCACAATCACCACTGGAGCTTTTCAAAGCATGCAGACCAGAATCCACTCCAGAACTGTTGAACCCAATACCCAGGGACAAAGAGCATGTCAGGTTATTTTTGTATTTTGGGTTTTTCTTTCATTATTATTTTTTAAATTTTTATTTATTTATTTTTTTAACTTTTTAACCACATGCCATTGTTCTATCTCCCTGGCAGCAATCACCACTCAGATACATAAACCTGGGTTTCTTCTTAAATGGCTTTTAATTGTGCCCTGCTCCCAGCCACCATTTCATTTAATGTCACTCTACTCCTTGAAGACTAAACTCCAGCCATGAACTTCAGCCCCTGACCAGACTTAGAATGTAGCATTTGTTAAATCTTGGGTTTTATCACAAATAGTCATTTCTCAGTAAAGACCTTTAGACATTTAAAAATTAACTTCCTTTAGAGAGAAGGTCCTCATTTGTTTGCTAGGCCAAGTTAGTACTAAAATTATACCTAAAAATGAGCTTGTTGTGCCCTTAGCCAGAAGGCCTCATTCATCCAGGGCCAGCTTTTAGGACAGGTCAACTCACAAGGTTACTGCTTGGCTTTGGAGACTAAATCTCTACTCATTTTCAAATGTTCTATAATTCATCCCCACAAGACATCATCTCACACCTGTTAGGATGACAATTACAAAATCAAAACAAAGTAAGCATTGATAAGAATGTGGAGAAATTGGAATCCTTGTGCACTAACAGTAAGAAGGTAAAATAATACGGTTATATGTGGTTCTCAAAAAGAAAATTAAAAACAGAAAAACTATATGATCTAATAATCCCAGTTCTGGGTATTTATCCAAAATAACTAAAATCAGGATCTCACATGATGTATCTAGACTCCTTTGCATATGTTAGCATTGTTCAYAATAGCCAAGGTGTGGAAAGAAACTGAGTTTCCATCAACGTATAAGGGGATAAAAGAAATATGACCTATACACACACACAGTGGAATGTTATTCAACAATAAAAAGGAGGAAGCCCTGTTGATGATATGATGTGGATGAACCTTGATAACATTACGTTAAGTGAAATAAGTCAGGCACATAGAGTAAATACTGCATGATTTCCCTTATAAGAATTTCCTCAAACTCACAGAAATGAAAACAGAATGGTGGTTGCCAGGTGCAGGAGGTACAGAGCAATAGCAGTTGGTGTTCAGTTTGTAAAACTTCACTTGTGAGAGATAAGTTCTGGATATCTGCTATACAACATTGTGTTAATGATTAATGATATGGTACTATGCACTAAGAAAGTAGGTGTCATGTGATTTTTAACACCAAAGAAGAAAATATATGCACATTCTAGACAACATTAAGAATTATGATAATGGCTGAAAGCGTTGTAATCTCTTTATGCCTTTAATTTAGTGTAAACCAAGGACTTTCCATCAAACTGAGCTTCGATTCCTTTAAAACAGATTATAGAGATGTTTTATATATTTATGAAGGTATAGGATCAAGCAAGATTTTAAGAGGTAAGTTATAAGCATATAATATAATCCGTCATCAAAATGAAAATATGTGGGAAGCTTTTTGGAGTAAGGTGTTTTCCCTTTAATTTTAAACTAAATATGAACTGGAAATTTAGGTTACTAGAAGGAAAAAGCAAAACTAGTCCTCATTAAGAAAATTAGGAAACTAGTGTTCTATGTTAACTTTGTAACAAAATAGTGACTATTTCACATGGTCCTCTTCTAATTGATGTTTTTAAAAAATGTGAAAGAAATATTATATATTTGTTTATCATACATTCTTCAAACATTAGTCTCCATTAAACAGAATTCAGTCAAACCCTAAATCTTATTATTCTATTTTCTCTGACATTGCATAAGTTATAAACACACAGAAACTCTGTCAGTGTTCACTCTGTTGGGTAAAACAGTGTCTAGCATCTGAGATAAACGCAGTAAACAGTAGTGTAGATAATACTGCTACACATACAACTTATCATTAGTATATAGAAATTAATAGAATCTGAGGAGAAGGTAGAGATGCATGAGTAATATGTATTTTCCCAGCCCACTTGTTCTCTTTGGCCTCAGAGTTCACAGTTCTATTTATGGTATACAGTTTAAGAAGGGACAAAATTCTAGGAGGAATCTTATTAGTAAAGTTTTGTCATTTTAACATCCAGATTGTGGGTAGTGAAAAGTAAATCATATCTAAAATAACATGACTTTAATTGATTGAGTGATAAGGGAAATATTTAAATAAGTGTTAATAATATTTAGATTTTATGGATGCTATTGATCTGACACTACAGAATGATTTATGTAGATCTTCTTATTTAATATTTTCAACAAATCTGGAAAGTATGTATAGGAGTCAAATGAGATCCAAAAAGTCAAATAATCCCAAGTTCACAGAAATAGTTATGTTAGAGGCAGCAATCAAATCAAAACTCTTTGCATTTCAGTTATCTTAATCTATTGTTTTAAACAGATTATTTTAATTTTAATTAAGTTAAATTTTGATGAATTTATTTTTACATAACCTATTTAACTTTAATTGAATTAAAATTTGATTTATTAGCTAAATTAATTAATTAATTGACTAGAAAAGTTGAATACTTAATGAATAATGGATTTTTTCATTGTGCTTTGAAAGCCCAGATTCAAATAGAATAATGAGAATGCATAAAACGTGAACTCATGGTAAATAACATTTGGCTTAAATAAATGGACCAATTATTTCATAATCATTTTTGTTATTGAAAAATGCTCTTCTTTAAAATTATAATCAACATAAATATTTACATAGATGGGTAAATATTCAAGTTTATATAAATATTTTCAAAGGCTAATGTGACATTAATAAATTTTAGCATACATTGATCTCTTATAATGCATGGAGTTATTCTGTCAGGACTTTTTCAGCTTAATAAATGCTCCCCTCACAACAATTATGATAGTTTCTCCGTTACAGATGATGAAATCTAAATTAAAGAAAGTTAAATGCTCTGTAAGTGGTAGGTACTCTCACAGTCCTTTACTCTTCAAACACCTTGATTCATCTAAATATTATTTTCAATGCTTAGACTATCAGTAATTTATGAATAAATTTTAAAATAGTTAAATGTAATGATGCAAAGAATGCACAAATAATTACCTTTAAAATGTAATATGAAAGAGAGTACAAAGAGGTCTATGAAAGTGTTTCAAATTAAAACAGGGTCCTTTGCTTAAGACCATCTAAAATTTTTATTTCAAAGTTTTGAAAAAAAATTTAATTGTAATCAGAAAAAAATAAAAACATTTGATTGTTAAAACAAATTTTATAATGAAAATAATAGTTTTTTAAAGAAAAGCAATAACATCATACCCCTAGCATCAAGCATAGTAAATGGTATAATGTAAAAAATCTCAGTATTTGTGGATTTAAATTTAGATTAATAGGTTTATATTTCTATTGTATAGGTATTAAGGTGAGTTTTCAATGGAGACAAGCAGTAATTTTTCATGACTTTAGAGTTATTTCATATTGAAATAATTTCAAAACTTTCGTTTTCAGTTCACAAGCCCATCTAAAAGCTCTGCAAATCTTTTGTGTGAGAGATACTTATCAGATTTACTTTCATTCAATTCCAATTAGGAAATGTATCTCAAATGCTGTTGTAATTTTTATCACTTGGAAAATATTTAGATATTAGGAAATTAGGAAAAATGGATTATCTAGAGAAATTATAAAACTGTCTAACACCATGAAATATTTGCTGTATTCTTGATTAGGCTAATCAGGATAAACAAATCCCAACTCTCCAGCATCTTTATCATGTTTCCCTGCTCTCTTTCACAAAACCTATTCACCAGGGTCATTGCTGTTAGAAGAAAAATGAGGAGTTAGTTCACATTCAGGTGGGACTGCTTGACAACTCTATGTAAATTATTATTTATAGAATATTGAATTTTTGGAAAAAATACTGTATTTTCGTAAGGAATTAGTGTTGAAAATTTTATTCTATCATGTAATATAGGAAAAATTCACCTTTTATAAAATTATCAGGCAATTGGTTTCTTTTTTCTTTCAACAAAAGGCATTTCTTTTATGTAGGCAAACTGTATCACTCTGTGTACTCACATCTTAATACATGCGCTCAAATATTGACTAAACTTCTCCCAAACTCTGACATCATGGCAGAGGTACAGAAAGCATTAAGTCATAATCTGTGCCTTTTCAGGGCTTATAATAAATTGGTGTGAGAGATGTACCATCGCTAGCATTCATTGAGCACTTACTATCAGCAGTCCCTCTTCCAAATGGAAATGATTTACTCCTTATAACAAATCTTTATGAAAAATTTCTTATCATGGAGAAAATTGAGGCACAGAGAAATCTACTCAGACATAAAGCAAGAACTGAATTGAATACTGACTCTGAAACCCCAGTTCTTAACCACCACCCTCTACTGTCTTTGTTTATACATAAGATACATGTCTTTCATTGGATCTGTGGTTCAAGGAAACCTTAAAAATCTGAGGAAAGTTTTAAAAAAATGTCTACAGACACATATTTTATACTCTTTATAAGGGGTTATTGTCTATTTCTGATGCAGGTTAATGGATCTGAGGACATACCCGCAGTCTACTTAGACCAGTGCAATAACATTGGAAAACGTAGGAATCCTAACACATTACAATCATCAAAGGTGCCATTGAGCTACCACCAGCCTCATTCACATCCATCCAAAAACAGTTGTGCCAGAGAATTCCAATGCTGTAGAAAGAAAGCAAGAATGAGAAAAGCAGACAGGTTTAAAGGAAGCTTTCTGGAATATTTACATACCTTAAGTGACTAGACACTTATGAACTACAAAGTTTTTCAATATGAGAGCAATTTTGGTTACACAATTACATATGCTGGTAGGAGGAGTCTAAATAATCAATATAATTCTTCATTAGGAAACACTGGATGACACACATTTTGGAGGAAAATATTAAGATGTGAATTTAAAACTCAAAAATAACAGTGATGTTTGTCTGCAAGTGTGGTCAATTTCACAGACCAGAATCTGATATCTAGGTCACATTATCTGATAAAATATTAAATCATTCTTTCCTAACTTGCTTTTTCATTACAACTACCAATACGAAACTCTTTTAGACATATTTTCTTCTGTATATTCAGGTAATTTAAATATTTTATGTATATCTGTTTATGTGTGTATATCTGGGGTTTGCAAATTTAAAAACTTGGGCTGGGGATATAGCTCAGTTGAAGTGCTTGCCTTGCATGCACAAAGCCCTGGGTTCAATCCCCAGCAGCACAAATAAATAAATAAATAAATAAAATGGAAAAAATTAAAAGCTAAGGCTATTTCTCACTCCCTTAAGAATCAAAATTGAAAGATAACATTTATGTGGCTTAGAGTTAAGGCAGAAAGAACAAGGATAAAAATCAATATAAAGTGCTATGGATTCAATACTTAATCACCAAGTATTATATTGATGTCCTACAATTATATCAGAAAAAGAAACAAAGATATACTCTTTTTTCTAACATTGTGACTGCATTTTAGCTCCTTTGGTATGGCATAGGATATAACTGATGAGCCAAACTAACTTTTGGTTTAAGAACTGTTTAAATTTGTGTTTCTTACAGGAACATTTTCAGTAAAAGAATACATCTTTTCTTTTCATATGTGTACACAATGTATGTACCTACTAATTAAAAATGAAAAAGTTTTTTAAACCATAAATATGTGTAATAATTTGAGGTTTTCCAATACTTAGAAAACACACTTCAATTAAGTAAATCACAAATGAAATGCTTTTAGTTAACTGAGTAATATCAGAATGATGGATAAATGGATGTATTCCTATAACCGTAATTCATTTTCTTTTGTAGCTTCCCTTTGGGAAAGTAGTCCCGGCACAATTAGAATCTTTTCCAACCAAGTTACTCTCACCTTTCTCATAGAATCTGATGAAAATGATTATATTGGTTTTAGTGCAACATATACTGCATTTAATAGCAGTGAGCTTAATAGTAAGTATAATTTACTCTTAATCCTTTGCATTTTCAGGTTCCTAATATTTTAATAGAATTTTAAAAGTATCAAGACATAAAATGTTCATCATGGAATTTCATTATGAACATATTTTATGTACATCTCTTTTAATGCCAGAAAGAAATTATAAATTATAATATAGTTCCCATTCTTCATAGAAATCTAATAACCAACTTGAGAAAAATTATAAATTGATATAAAAATTAAATTAAAAATGTTAAATAGTGCAATATTACAAGTAAAATATTATTGATTAAACTAATTCAGAGCTGTTTCCATGTAGACTTAATTTTGATCAAAGCACTAAATTTAATAATAAGGAGAGAAAAATTGGGGAATTAAAGTTTGTGTGGGTAAACCAATGGAGATAAGATGTAAAACTTAGATAACAAAAGCTTGTATTTGCTCACGTCATGATGAATATTAGAAACATTAATTTAACACAGTTGAAAAGAAAAGATTTTTCAGACTTAATGTAGTGAAATAAAGTGAAGATTAATAGAAAAGGATGCTTTTACTTATCCCACTCAATTATAAACTCTACAAAATTAGATTATTTTCAACATAACTTAATGTAACTACTTATACTACGAACTTAAGTTTAGGGCTCTTTATTTCATTTTTATTTCACAGATTATGAAAAAGTTAACTGTGATTTTGAGGATGGCTTTTGTTTCTGGATCCAGGATCTAAATGATGACAATGAATGGGAAAGGATTCAAGGATCCACCTACCCTCCTTTTACTGGACCAAATTTTGACCATACTTTTGGCAATATTTCAGGTATAATTTATATTTAATTCATAATTTAAAACAAAAAGGGTATGTCAAAGGAATATTAAATCAACAAGAATTTTCAGAACTTTTTCTTAAAATCATGTGCTACTAAATTTATTTAAATGAAAAATGATAATCAAATAACAAGTAAAATTTAATGTTTCAAGAAATATACTTTTACCATATATATTTATTTGCAATATGTTCAAGCATACACAAAAAGGCCATTAGAAATAAAGAGACAGGTTGTCGTCCTACATTTACCATTTATTATTAACTAAATGATTTATGTAAGGTAGTTTCCTTTTCAGAGTGTTGCTTTAGTTTTATTTTCTGATTATTCATTGCTAGTGCACAGAAAAAAAATTCATTTTGTATATTGATCTTATACCCTGATGTCTTGATGAACTTGTTAGCTCAGTTTATTTTTAAATAATTCCTTAGAATTTTTATTTATAATATCATATCACATTGCAGGACAGATAGATGAACTTTTTCTGGAGACCCTGTGGAAGGCTGATGGTAGATCACTGTCTTAAGGGAAGGCTGTGATGTGTTTAATGCATTTTCATGAGAATGTGATATTAGAATTGGATTCCTGGTGGACACATTAACATCAGAGATGATAGTATTTGACTAAGAAAACCAGAATCATAGAGAAAAATCAGGAGATAAGAATCTTCTGTTGAGAAGATCACTCCTGAGAGCCTCAGAAGCATATAACCAGAATACAAATATAATTACTGAACAAAGGTTTGTGAATTTAGAAGAAATGGAATCTTAAAAAAACTAATGAAAACTACAAAAAGAACAAAATAGAATTTGTGCATTTATACAACTTTAGTAGACAAAATCCATCCTACAATGTGATTAGTTGAAAAGTTGCTGGTGAAAATACAATTCAGTTTTAAAATACATATTAAAAGCCTCCTGGCCAGCCATGGTGGCACACCCTTCTAATCCCAGTGGCTCTGGAGACTGAGGCAGCAGGATCACAAGTTCAAAGGCAGCCTCAGCAATTTAGTGAGTTCCTAAGTAACTCTGTGAGACTCTATATCCAAATAAAATATAAAAACAAGGGCTAGTGTTGTGGCTCAGTGATTAAGCAACCTGGGTTCAATCTCTGGTACCAAAACAAAACAAAAAGTCTCCTTTAACAATGTGCAATTCCAGACATTAATAACACAGATCACATATCACCAATTCTACACTCTGAGAAATTTCGAGTTGAAACCTTTCTTTCCTTTCAACAAATATGATAAGCCCTTTTTTTTTTATCCCCCATATCAAAGAACACTGCATCTTCTAACCCAGTGGTTTATTTTCATTATAGTATTCTTAGTATCAGGAACAAGAATCTGATATTTTTTATATTTGAATTTCTACAGTATTAACAATGCCTAAATTTAATCAGAATGTAACATTAATTTTAATAGATGAGCGAATGTCTAAAATTTTGACTCAATAAGTAATTCTGAATATTTTTTGGATAAATCAAATATCTTATAGCAAAAAAACTAAGTACATGTTCTTTGTAATTTGTTATTAATAGTCACTTCTGTTATGAAGATCAGTATCTTCATTTTTATCCCATGAAAAGTAAATGGTTAATTTAATGCTAATTATGAGTGACAAAGAGTTAAGTAACATTATAGGGTTAATTTATTCAGAATAGTAATGTTTCTAATAAATACTGACTCTTTAGATAATGACATCTCTAAAATATTAAAATATGGTTCATCATTCTGCATCTGGATCTAAATCTTTCTCTAAAAAAATGAATTATCTTAACCAATGTTCATAATCATCACCAAGAGCTCTTTTCCATTTATGATTTCGCTCCTTTATTTGAGAAGCTTTTTGTGAGTCCCGGCCCTATTCAAAATACTCAGAATACATCCATGAACAAAATAAATCATATTTCCTGCTTTCACAGATCACATATTCTGCAACGGAAAAGTAGAAAATAAACAGAACATATAGGAAGTTCTGCTAGGTTAATTGTAGATGAATAGTCTGAAAAACCGTGAACCTTGGCAAAGGAAAAAGGAAAGTCAGGCGTTAAAATGCCATTATATTTAAAATAAGGTAATCAGATTAGGCATCATTGAAAAGTGACWTATAAATCAAAACCCCAAACAATTATGGAATTAAACACATAGATAATTCTAGACAGAGGGAACAAGCAGGGCTAAGATTCTAAAGGGGAGCATGCCCAACCGGTTTGAAGATGAGAGGAGAGGCCAGGGTGGCTGGAGTGCAGTGAGTAGGGCGTAGGGTTCAGATGATGATGCCTTTTCTATGGTTCTGACTGTTTAATTGAAATGAAGAGCTAGTTAAGGTGAGCACTGGAGTGGCAGGCTTCATTCACTCTGACTGGTAGTTGCAGAATAGTGAGTGGAAGGGCAAGAGTGTTGCCTGATTTGTTAGTCGTCTTTTTGTTGCTGTCACCAACATAACTGACATGAACAAATTTAAAAGAGGAAAATGTATTTTGACTCATGGTTACAGAGCTTTTCAGATCATGGTCCACTCTTTCCATATCTTTCTATTTGAGGTGAGGAAGAATATCATAGTTAAAGGGCATAGCAAAGGGAAACTGCTCAGATCATGGAAGTCATGAAGCAAGGGGGTGGAGAGAGCCTGGAAAAATATATAGTCCCCAATTGAATTCTCTTAGTGACTTTCATCCTCCAACCATGCCCATCTGCCTACAGTTTTCATGAACTCCCAGTAGTTCATTCAGTTATTAATGGATTTATCCCCAGATGACGTCAGAGCCCTCATGATCCTGACTTTTCCAAAGCCCCACCTCAGAACCTGTCTGCATTGAGGATCACATCTTCAAATTATGAGATTGTGGGGAACTTTCAAGATCCAAACCATAACACAGGGAGACTTATGCAAGGCTTTCCCTTGACCTAGATGTTTTAGTCAGCTTTTTCACTGCTGTGACTAAAAGACCTAACYGGAACAATTGGAGAGGAGAAAAGTTTATTTGGAAAGGTTTATGGTTTCAGAGATATCAATCCATAGACTGCCAGATGCATTCTCAGGGCTCAAGGTRAGGCTGAACATCATGGTGAAAGAGTATAGCAGAGGGAAGCAGCTCACATGGGGATCAGTAAGAAGAAAGAGAGACTCCACTAACTAGATACAGATACATAACCCCAAAGCTACAACCCTAATTCYCACCTCCTCCAGCCACACCCYACCACTTCCATTACCAGTTAATCCCTATCAGGGGATTAATTCACAGATTGGGTTAAGATCCTCACAATCCAATCATTTCTCCTCTGAACCTTCTTGCATTGTCTCACATGTGCGCATCTGGGGGACACCTCACATCCAAACCATAACACTAGAGAGGAAGTCAAGGGACTCAGATCAAGGATTATATATGCTAAGAAGAGGTTAGATTCTAGACATAGTCTGAAAGGAGTCATAATAGGATATTGCAATTTAGTCACTAGTGTGGACCTAAACATAAAAAACATTGTTATATATAGATGGTCAGTCCCATAAGGCCAAAAGCATTTAGTACCCAGAATGGTGACATGCATATTCTTCTATATAATTAATCTTTCTTGAATAAATTATATCTCAGAGCCAATCCTCCATGGATAAAGTAGTAACCTACAAGAGGAAGACTAACTCCTATACAATAGTCACCCTAGCCCTCTATAGAAGGCCCAAGAGTCAAACAATCTGATCAGTTGTTCCCATAGTGTAATCAAAAAATATCTSTACCACAGTTGGACAAGAGTAGTTACAGCAAAGTGAAGAAAGCATTTATATCTATTGACTATGACAGAAACCTTTTATGTAGTTGAAATCCTTGACATTTGAATTATCATTTTTCTACTTTTATGTCATCATAATAAGAGAGAAAATAATTTCACTGATATTTGAAGAGTGTTAGTGCATCACAGGAGAGAAAAGGCTTCGGGTTGCCCACAGATTACATAACTAAAGAACGTAGATGAAATTGACGAAAGGGAAGCAGGTGGAATGTCAGATGGAGATTTTAAATAGTTGGGTGGGAAATGAAGTCTCAGGAGAAAGTCATGTAGCAGGAGTYATTTAAAATTAGTCAAGGTAGAGCAGGTCAGAGCACACCAGAGGCAGCGAGGTAATGAGGACCACGGTAGGTCTTCATAGGTTCTCTCTAACTCTCATATGTGTGATTTCATAATCTACCAGTCATTCACCCCCAGGGACATTTTTCTTCCAACTGGCTTTTTCATGTGTCAGAACATCCTAGGAAATGGAAGAGAATTAAGTCTCTCCTGCTGTTCCTCTTATCTATGCAGGGTTTTTTTTTTTTTTCTTTACCTCCACTTTGAATGACAGGAAGGCCTAAATGAAACAGATGAACTTTGAATTAGCATGGCTTTAGGGAAGAACATCTAAGCCCCTTCAGTTTTCCAGACCTTCTAAAGAACTCTTTCTTGGTGGAGCMACAGCTCCTAAATCTGTGTGCTGTCAATGTGCAGCTTTCTCTTTACTTCTTAGAAGCAAAGAAATTGGGGGAAAATGGAAGCTTTGATGCAGGGCACCATCTCGGGGTGTTCCTAAGTGGCTGATTTGTTCAGAACACACAGGGAAAAGCGAGGTCAGCAATATGTAAGACTTTAGAAGTGGAAGGGTCACCCAAGGGCTAGATAGCCCAAAGAAAGTGTTTCTTTCCTCGCCTTTTCCAAGAAAACTGTAATTGTTTCTAATGCTTTTGGAACCAGTGTATGTAGAACTGAAGATGATGTAAATGTGGACCTGCGAATGTTAGCAAGGTTTAAATCTCAGACCTTCCATTTAGGCAAATTATCTATTCTCTTTCTCTCTCTCTCTCTCTCTCTCTCTCTCTCTGCCTCAGTTTTCTATTCCAGAAAGTAAAGTTGATGATAATAGGACCCCAGTTTAATAGGCATAAGTATTCAATTGATTGCTATGTTTAAAAAAATTAGAAAAATGCCTGACACATAGGAAATGCTATATAAATGTTTTTTGTTATAACTATCTTCTCTTCATGCCACAAAAGTATTCAGAGGCAAAAATTGTCTGTAGTACCGTAGCATACTATGGAGTAAAACAGTTATTTGGCTCAATTTTCAAAAGTGTGCTAGGCTTTTAGATGTCTCTTAGCATACAAAATTTTTCCAAGTGTCACTTTAGTGTTTTCAAAGTAATATTCTTGTTTTCTTATCTTCTTTGTGATATTAAATTTTTTTAAATAAAAATAATGGTTAAAATTCAGTCAGATTCTATTGTTTATAGAATCTGACTGAATTTTAACYATTTCCCAACCTAAAACTTTCAATACCATTCATTTATAATTTCCAGTTAATTTCATGTACACATTTACCTCTCACAAACCTCCTTCTATCAGCCTCTTCTTGAGCAAGAGCATCAGGTTTCCAGAATGCAGGGTTTTCTCCAGGTTCTGTTCTCTGCATCATCATCATCACACATACACACACACACACACACACACACACACACACACACACACCCCAAACAATTTTTTCTCTTGAACTGATTTGTTGGATAGAAAGAGGTTAAGTTTTGTTTATGGAGAAATAGGCAGAAAAAGTTACACAAGGAAGCTGTAAGAAAAGCCTAATAGCTCAAGAAAGGGGTAGACTATGTGCTCAAATTAAAAAAAAACATATTTCTGGGTTTAAACCAACTTAAWAGTCAATTCTGAAAACTCTAGAAGACATTTCAAGAAAGTTGGGAGATATTATCATTTGACCATATGAGTTCCATGTGTTTATGGAAAATATCTGTTTAATCATTCCTTTTTGTATAGAACTTTAATAAACATAAAAGTAAATCAAATCAGCATAAAAATGTACTAAACAAACTAATCCACATAGAAAATACAAATATGAACAAGTTATCTTTCTTTCTCCCAAACTTCTAACAAGTTTTAAAAGTTAAATGTTAGGACTGGGCGTTTCAGTGATAGAACATTTACCAAGCATGTGTAGGGCCCTGGGTTTTATCCCCAGCATCACACACACACACACACACACACACACACACACACACACAATTGCATATTTGTAAATAAAATGCATAACATTTATATTAACAAACATCAGAGAAGTACAACATGCCATTAATAATTCACATGAAAAAATGGATGCTTCTAACTGGAAGAATTTCTGAAGGAGATGATAATTTGACTAAAATTATCTCAAAAAATAGGATTTTAACAAGACATAATCAGAAGAGAAAATATAAGAACAGAAAAATATGAGGGGAAAGACACAAAAGGTAATAAAACTTCTAAATATTTGGAAATATTAAAATAAATTTATGGAAGTTCTACATAAAATTAGAAGAATAAGAAGAACTATGTCTGGAAGATACTAAGGTTTAGGACAGAGCCTTCAAATCTCAGAGTGAATTTATACTTAATTTAGTTACTAGGCAAGAGCGAGAGTGAGTAAGAGAGAGAGAGAAAGAGAGAGAGAGAGAGAGAGAGAGAGAGAGAGAGAGAAAGTTTGTGATTTTGAATAAAGGATCAACTAGATTGCCCACAAGGAAGCATTATCAAGCAATGGTGTAGGTGATGAAGAACTTCCAAGGAGGGGTAGAGAATTTGGACGAAAACACATTTGGAAATAAAGAAAAGTGATGATTGTGACTTAATTCAGCATTTCTAGTGTTGTCATATTCTCCTCCACCTGATGAGATCTCCAGAAATAATACTATGTAAATATCTGGTATCTGGTTTCTTACTTTGAGTGGAATCAACTGGATATACAATTAATTGAGAACATATCAAATGAAGATGAGTGTGAGCTTTTCATTACTATGACCCAAATACCTAACAAAAACAACTTAGAGAAGGAAAAGTTTGTTTTGGCTCATGGTTTCAGAGGTTAAGTCTATGGTTAGCCAACTCCATAGCTCTGGACTCAAAGTGAGGCAGAACATCATGGTAGACCAARGTGGCATAGGAGCACTACTCCATTCTTGGCACCCAGGAAACAGAAAGGGAGGGAAAGAGAGCCAAAGGAAAAATGAACCTCCAGTGACCCAATCTTCTAGCCACACCCCACCTGACTATTGTTATTACCCAATTAATTAGTCCATTCAAACTAGAATGGACTGTTTAGGTTACAGTTTTCACAATCAAATGATTTCACCTCTGAAGATTCCTGCATTCACATGAGCTTTTGGAGAGTACCTCATACCCAAACCTTAACAAGATCCAAACATAAATTTTATCACATTCAAGTTATTAAAGGCAAAAAGGATGTAAAATCTTGAGAAGACAGAAATGACAAAATAGAGGCCTTTAARCATTGTTTATCACATTTTTTTTCAGTGCTGGGGATTGAACCCAGAGCCTTGCAGATGCTAGGCAAGTACTCTACCATTAAGGCACACCCCCAGCCCTCCTTAAACATTTTCATATCTAACAAATCATCTATCATTTTTGTTTCCAAAGGACAAAATTAGAAATGATATATGCATAAATGTGTAATCTTAAAAAATTCTAATCATAATGAAATGAAATGGATTTCCTTGGAATGCAGTGATCTCTAATGTATCTGACAAGTATTAAATAAGATTGTACAGGTAAATTATTGTCAAATTAAAGGACACTTAGGTTGTTGGACTGACTGTATTTTTAGGTAAACTACAATCCTCAGCTTTTAGAATTTATAATTTTCTTTCATTTTCTACTTTGTTAACTAAAGAGTTAAGTGATATCACAAAAATAGTAATTTAATGCTATATATTATTTTACTATATTCCAGAATGTATAAATCTATATAATATTTGCTAAGTTGTGCTTATTTGTTTATTTATTTTCTTATTTAAGCAAAGTTCATAAAGTACTAGAGTTGATATGATTAATCTATTTTATGTGTAAATGAAGTCATATCTTGATGACTAAAAATCCTATGTATATTATAGTTTARTGAGTAAATAACAGACTCAAAATGTTTCAAATCATAACCAATTGACTATGAATGTGACCAAACATAAATAGAAGCATAACGTGTGTTAGTGTTATATAATTTCAAATAATTACAAGTATTTTTGAAGTRTTTAAACATTTCATTACTTATCTATGGCATTCAAGTTTATTTTAGTTATTTCTTCCCTTACTGTCCTAAGCAACTAAAAGTAAAGTCACCTCAATATGGATTTAGAGTTGGGCATTTAAAGAGTAGATTTGGGTACTTCTCCTCTATATCTATACTGCTCTTTTTCATTGGGTTGTATAACTGAGCACTAAATWGCTAAAATGATTATTCATGAAATATCATAGCATATATAAAATACACATAATGTGCTAGTAATATAAARTGTTAAATACACTTATATTTATTTTATACTTTATGGTCAAAAATCTCCTTGTTCTAAATGTGCGGTTATGTATCTAAAGAAAGTATTACTAGTATTTCTTTTCTTCATGTCTTGTTCTTACTCTGCATGTTATAACTGTATGAATTTGAAATTTATATGCAACATTGCCTATATTTTTCTGTTGTAAAACACAGGAGAGAAGATGCTTGATTTCAAGAAAACTCTAAATTTTACCATTTTATAAAAACTGCATTGCAATCGAATTAGACTAATCTAATATTTTACTTGCTTCATATCATATCTCATGTTCCCTGCCTCCTCTCATAATATRTGAGTAGTAAATGAAGAATAAAATAAATTCCCCTAAGAAAATGTTCAAAATGTTCTTATCCAACAACACTTTGTACACATCCAATGACGCAAATCGTTGGTTGGGATAATGAATTCTAGACCAGACAGCACTTTATGCAGTAGCCTGTGCTATTTTAAAAGCTTTTATATGGATTAGCATGCCTCCTGTTCTTTTATGACCTGATTAGTTATCATTCAAAGGAGCACAGGAAGATGAAAACATTATAAAATTAGGTGAATTTTTATTTACAGATATGTAATATAGTAAATGTAATATGAAACTGACAGTCTTTGAAATGCTTAATCTTGCCTTCACATGTGAATTTAAATACTTGAGTATATCATGAGTTAGCCCACCAGCATATCTTCACACTGCAAAGTACTGACTGTCTCTAAACATGTAGAAMATTGGAATTAAATTAGAAGCCTGTCAGTTGTGACATGATTTTCCTAAATAGCAGTTTGTTATGACAGAGKTGCTGCTTTCTGAACTCAAGTCCAGGGTCCTATGTATGTTTTCTAATGTTTTCATCTGTTAGTCTTGTTTATGAATAATATATCTCACAAAATTAAAATGTTAATATTTAAGCATATAAAAACGTTTTCTTTGGTTTTATAGGATTTTACATCTCTACACCAACTGGACCAGGAGGGAGAAGAGAAAGAGTCAGACTCTTGAGCCTCCTGTTGGAGCCTACTTTGGAGCCAGCCTGCCTTRGTTTCTGGTATGTTTCTGCTAACTTGTTTCTTAGTTTCTGGTAAGGCACATATTAAATGCCGTCTTATTTAATGAGTGGTATTGTCTTTTTTAGGGTACCAGTCTCAGATTCCACTGACATGGTGGTCAAATTTTAAGGCATGAAGTATTACTTTTCCAATTTATGGAAAAGCAAAACACTGGAACACTCCAGTGTTTTGCTTTTCCACTCCCAAGGGAAAAGAGGATGTTGAAAAGACAGTAAAGAATTTAGAAGAACCTAAAATGCATTTACTTTAATGTGGTAGGAATCCAAACATTTCTGCTTATTTCCAAACTAGGTATTATATGTATGGTGAAAATGTCTATAAATTAAGTATTAATATCAGCAATGACAAAAACATGGAGAAAACAATTTTCCAAAARGAAGGAAATTATGGAGAAAATTGGAACTATGGACAAGTAACATTAAATGAAACAGAGGAATTTAAGGTTTGCAAAACACATTGTGATTTGTATTTGTATTCTTTTTATGGTATTAATGCAATTATAGTTTACAGTGATACGGTGAAAAGCTAATAATTTATTTTCTAAAGATTTCCAAGTCATTTTCTCTATTTTCTAATCTACCCTAGTTTTTCTTTGGTTACATTTATTTTTATTTATTCGTTGACATTAAAACATTWTTTATTATTTTATTATTACTGAGGACGATTTTGCTACATGAAAGTTTAGCTTGTCCATAAAGTCTGTAGAAACCTCATAGAAGATTTTAACATGTTTCTTTAGCAAATTTCTATACTAGACCAACTAAGTCCCCTATTTTCCCAGGACTTTCAAATTTTCAACACAAACCCCGCCAGTGTCAGCCCTGCACTTTTTCTAGGGAATAGCCATTTCTTTTTAGGACATCCATGCCCATTGGTGTCTACCCACTTGCCCTACTCTGACTTAATGTCCTTTAGAAACAAATTCTTTAAGCTGTATTATTGGGAGTTCTTTGATCATTTATTTCACATTAAGGTGGATTAATTTTTCAAATAAAAGTTCTATTCCTAAGGGTTTTTGCAATTAAAATATAGGATCGTATCCTATTAGTTTGATCAAATTAACAATGTTCTTATGGGTGATTTTTAAATAAGATTAAAACACTTCCAGGAGATGTATGTTTAGACAGACACTGATCATCAAAGGCTTCAGTTCTCCCCTGTGACATGATGTAAAACAAGTGATAATCAATGACCCTTATCATATTCCTCTCACTCTCTTTCTTTCCTTCCCTTTTTTCCCCTTTTTTCCAGAAATAAACAATTCATGAGTTTTTGGTATTTTTATTTAGTATTTTGCTGTAATTGTTTTATTTTATTATTTCATTGTGCTATAATTGTTAATCTCTTAATATGCCTGATTTATACATTGCACTTTATCATTAGTAATAAATATAGTATAGGAATGTATATTAATATATTCATATATATTTAACATAATTTATAGATATAGTTAAATATGTTAATATGTATTTTTATATATTATATGTGAGTGCATGTGTGTGTGTGTATGTACATCTAATAAGAAAGGCGGTCTCATCAGAAGAACTTGAAAATCATGATTCATCAACATTTCACTATGTAGTAACTCGTCATTATTTGTTTGGAAATGGATATTGTTTCTCTAGAAGATTTTGGGTCACAAGAAGACTTAAGTCAGAAAATATTTGAGTGGAGTCACTTTATATCCCTCTCTGAATTTCAGGTTGTTTTTAGTGCTATTAAAAATCAGATCTTGAGTGACATAGCATTGGATGACATTAGCCTAACACAWGGGATTTGTAATCAGAGTCTTTATCCAGAGCCAACTTTGGTCCCAACTTCTCCACCAGAACTTCCTAGTAAGTAACATTAATGTCTATTTTCCCTAAGTCATTAACATTCTCAGGTAGATCTTAATGTGGCTTATTTTTTGTTGTTTCAGCTTTATATCATTTTTTTCACTGAAAATCAAATATTAAAGTAAAGTGAGTAAACTGGAGTCCATAATTAAATTTAGACTAGCAAACTATTGCATGTTACACACACACAAAAAAGACACTCATTGCTTTGTTCTGGATCATATTTATGATCATTTTAATTTCTCTCTCTCTCTCTCTCTCTCTCTCTCTCTCTCTCTCGTAGTGAAGATGTTGATTATCATTTTGTTTTCACTAAAATAAAATCATACTGTATTGCCCACATGGACTGGTCTACAGATTTGGGGACAGGAACCTCAAGGTTTTCATGGCCTTTTGAAGGAGTGATTTTAAGATGTCAAGAGGAGTTCAGTTTAGCCTAAAGCCCATCAAGCCTTTTTAATAAAAAAAGTGTTGAATTAGACTTTAAACATACAGACCAAGCTCACATAACCTATTTTTGACCTATAAATGGTACTTTTATAAGCCTTTGCAACCCTTCATAGAGCCACTGATTTGTTGCAGCTGAGTATTAACCATGATTTCTAGCCCTACAGGACGTTTTAACTCAAAATAACAAAATGTTMTATGCCTACTTGTGCTCTTAAGTCAAACTAGAAACATGACATTTCAGAGAAAAACTCATTACCATTCATCTTATTCTTTCATATCAAAGGAGACAAAATCATTTTACTATTTTCAGACTATGGGATTTGACAGATTAAAAAAAAAAAAAAGACCCAGTTAATGACAAGTAATATCAAGCACCCACTGTCCTTCTATTRGAATATTTTTACCACACCGTTATTTTTATGCAAAAGCATTCCTTTTTTCTTTCAATAGTGCTGGTTGGAGCTTATATAGTTGGTAGCTTTGTTTGAATTGAACCTCATRGATATTTTATTCTGTCATGAATCTGAGCCCCAAAACATGGCATTTATTCCATTTCACAATTACTTCTAAATATCCTTGAAATATCACATTCATTTTCAAAACTTTATTTATTTATTTATTTATTTGCTTATGACTTCAAGTTAAAAAAATAAATAAATAAGGCTTTTACAACAGTACTTTCAACAAGTCAAAGACTATAAAGTTTAATGACTGGAGTTTGAGAACATGTAATAAATAAGCTTCCATTAAATTGGTGATATAACTATACTGTCCTACTGGACTCAAGCCACCATATTGAATATGTACTCACATTCCATCAAAAAGCTCTTTTCCGCTTGCCGTTTTGTGTAATAACAATTTTAAATGTGTTATTACACAATTGTAAAACATTCATTCAAATTATAAATATCAATAACATAAAAAACACTGCATAAGAAATGTAAGATGTATCAATAAGCATCGATATTCAAAAATTAGTATAAAAATAAATAYTTAAATCTTAGATTAGCACATCTGCCTAATACATGAAAAAAGTGGTAGAGGGTAGAGAGTGTGACCTAAGAGAATATATTAAAGAAACATCCATATAAAAACAGAATGACCCTTATGAGCTGAAAGAAAAAGAGAAAATACCATGTATTTTCATGTGATAATATTAGCCATAAAATTGTGATGAGAAGTGCGTTTCTTTACACTAAACTCTACATCTAATTCACCTTTACTTCACKAGTGTCCAAATGTTTCCTAATACAACATAAATTGGTGATCAATATATAAACGTGGACTAAACCTTCTTCTCTTCTTCTCATTATTTTGGCTATAATCTTCTTTTGGTGACACAAACACTTTTATCAAACAAAAATTTAATAGCAAAATTAAAGTTTGGAAATGATGGCAGAGTAGATGTAGAGAAAATACCAACAATAATTTGAGTTTTGTGGCACTAAGCATTCAGAATCTTTAAAATCATTGTTGGCTTCACAAGTAATTCCTATAGACTAAATATTACAATATTTTGCTGAACACRGTGGTGCATTCCTGTAATCCCAGYGGTTCAGTAGATTGAGGCAGAAGGACTGCGAGTTCAAAGCCAGACTCAGCAAAATCAAGGCACTAAGCAATTCAGTGAGATCCCATCTCTAAATAAAATACAAAATAGGGCTGGAGGTATGACTCAGAGGTCAAGTGCTCCAAATTTAATCCCTAGAACCAAAAAAAAAAAAAAAGTTACAACATTTTGTTATTTCAATGTTGCCAATGATGCAATCACTCTAAACAATAGATTTTCCCCTTAATCCTGTCAGTCTGTCCCTCTATTCATTGATCAATGGTTAAGAAAACTTTTGTGGAAGTAAATAACAGTTTCATATGCTCAATATCTAAGACATAGCAAAATATCATTAACAAAAATATAAATTTGAGAGAACTTTTGTTGAAAATGTCATACATGTAGCTAAAACTTTAAAAATGGGTTCCCATGTTAAATATTTATCTATGTGTACTTTACTATCTTCATGTCTATTCTAGTCAGAAAGAAAATAGATAAYACCCAGATGTCGTGGCAGTTTGGTRTCATTTACACATTTTAATATTAGAAAATTATAATGGTAGAATAACCCACCTGACTTTAACRTACAAACTAAGAATCCATCCAGAGTACTTGTTTCAATTTCCAAATAGTTCACTTTAAGACAATGTTTAGCACAGCAGAAAATGTTAATTACCATTCAATGCCTTCTGAACAATTTCATTCTAATGCTATTTGCAGTTGGTTCAGTGAAATTCTTATTTGAACAGAGCTTTTCTGGTTCCAGATCACTGATTTGTTTAAGCAAAAATAAAAGGAAACCATGGTTGCTGGCTAATAGACTTTTTTTTTTGTCATCTCTTTTAGAACATTTAAATAAAAAAAAATAATCCCAGACAAATAAGGGAATAATAAAACTCAGCTTCTTCCCTGAATCCTAGGGTTCCACATTGTAACTAGTTCAGGGAAATGTGAGTTTATTTTTCCTAACTGCAGGGATTCTTCCACTTTGTGACTTTACTCACTTGGTGTTACATCAACTCCACAATTGTGCCTATGACTTTGGCACAAATTAAATGTTTATGAAAGCAAACATTCTACTGCACAACCATCATACCAACTTGGTAAGGTACTCTGATGATACACAACAAAATACCTACTAAATATAATAAGTGTATTCAACAAGAAATCCATGTTTTATTCTCTGACTTATTCATAAAGCTAATTTAAGAAAAATATCAAGCAATATTTTTCACTACTTATTCATTATTTATTTCAGTRTTTTCCTTTATTTGCTCAATATTTAACCATTTTTAATCTCCAAATACACACAAAAAGTAAGTTTGGRAAGTTGACTGACATGCCACAATATTTAGATTTAAATAATTTACCTTGAGTTTTTCATCTAGAAATAACTTATTACCTCTCGCTCTTGTAGTTGATGGCCYATTCAGCACATGATTATCATTTCACCACATTGKTTTTACTTAAGAATCAAACCTCCATCAAATTCCACATTAACTTCACTTAAAGACCCTGTATCAAGGATTTTAACTAATCTATTTGTTTTATTCATCTTATTTTTAAAACAAGTGTACTAACTTTTAGAGCTATCATTGGTTGGATATCTATTAATAACAAATAAAATGTTGACCATTTGGAATGAAAACCTAAACTTGATCATCACAAAATTAATAAAAGGATTTATGACTGATCACAATAACTTAATGGAAATACAAATTTTGATAAATTAAAGCAAAATATTAAATGAGATTTCATTTTGGATTGCAACTTAGACTTACAAGAAGCTATTTATGATATTAAAGGATTTGTTACCTATTATTATAATAATAAAAAACAACTCCTGACTTTGAAAACGAACCTATTGTAACATAACCATCAATCTTAGGTATTATATTTCAAGCAACATCTACTATGACCCTCACATAATAAGACAAATTGAAAACCTTTGAAACCATTTTCTTATTTCTTTTTTTCCCCTGGATATCTTCAGTTTGGACCCTCTTATTATAAAGATCCTCTTATTATTATAAAGAAGAAAGCTAGGCTCTCTTCCTTCTCACCCTATAACACATGCTTCYATGTTGACACATTTCTCAAGAATGACAAAGCTTAAACATGGATTTAAAATGCCACGCCCCAAGGAGATTATTTGTCCCGACAATTACTTTGCAAAATGCTGCGTGTTATTTACATAGTATATGYAGTGAAAATCCTTATTGGCATAGTAAGAAACTAATCAGAGTACAAATATTTGAGACAAAAACTCTAGAAAAGGAAAAATTGAAGAGTTAAACACTGGGAATGAATAGAATTTCCTTCAGCAGACAGGCTACTTTGCTTTCATTGCCTCGGTGGGCCTGGTTTAGCGAATAACACAGCAGGACTGTGATATCTGGAATTATGATTTATGAATCTTTTGTTCCTCTGCTAAGGAGCACATGCCCYGTCTCCACTATAGCATCACTACCATGAAATTAAATTGTATCATGTTATTTAGAATGCCTTAAAGTACTGAAGTCAATACTAACACTCATTTATATGCAAAGAGTAACTGAAATAGCTTATCAGGACAAGGACCAGAGATATCTTACTGGTCAGTTATTTGATGTGAATTTATAATTCAAATGTATTTCAAAGTATATTTCTTAAGTATTCTAAAGGAATGAATTTTTACAAAACTTAGGTTTAGAGGAGAAATGCTAAGTAAGTGAACTTCCTGCCTTTTCAGACTTTATAATTCCACATGTCCATCTTTTAGCTCTGTTTGTGAGTTTATTAAAGTCCTCCTTACTCATCTTTCTTCAAATGTAATTTACTCTCTATGTAAATTCAATACATTTTCAAAATGTCAACTATGCACTATATAAGCAATATAATATTTTGAAATGTTCCTATTCCTTTAATAGAAAATTGGATAATGGTCACACACACACACACACACACACACACACACACACACACAAACTGCTCTGATTACCCTGCTCATGGCTACATTTTTGAAAGAATAAAATTTGTCTTTTTCCAGTATTCAAACTGCATTCTAATTTTTGTCCCATTGGTTATACTTTACCTCCTCACTGATCTCACTGAAGATTGGTGGAAATATTTAATGGAAGTTGAAAATTATTAAAATTAAATGAGATGTGGGTATTCAGGGGTTATGGAATTGTAACAGATCTCTCTTCAGAAATCTTTGCCAAACAATGAGCCACATAATCAAGGATATTTCATTTCTAGTGGAGAACCTGCCCTCATTCATTGTTATGAGTCTGATTCAAAAGTCTTTTCAGAGCCACATGTACACTACTTTCTTCCTTTTAGATCTACTCCTCATTAACTTTACTATTCAGTTTCTTCATCATATTCCTTGCCATCCTCCTTGTTTTTGTCACATACTTACCAAGTCATATACTTAATGAGACTCAGTCTGTTGGATCATATGGTTCAAATGATTCAAAGTTTAATCAAACCATCCAGAGATAGTATTGTATTGTGAGATACGCATGAGATTAACTGGGTTGAATTATGGGCTTTGACATTGGGAGACTGTGTATGACATTAATAAATAACTGAATATCTCAAAATTTAAGATTGCCATAATGCTGAAATAATAATAGCAATTACCTAATACCCAAGGATGTTTTGAAAATGAGTAGCGAGTATGCCAGGTAATATGTAAGTGCTTTAAATGAATTCTATCTGATTTTTTACAAACACTTAATATCTATTTTATGTATGAGAAAACCACATCTTACAAAAACAAACACTTCAGAGCACAATTTTAATCCAGTAACTCCAACACATGTTCCCTTTATTCACCATACTTCCCCCAAATGAATGAGACAAGGTACCTGGAAGCATTCTACAAACAATAAAGTTTTGTGAGTTTCTAATAATTTTTATTAGAAATAAAAATTATTTATAAGCTATAAATAATTATTTAAAAAATTTTATAAGTTAATCAGTGTGGGAAAACCTGGTCCTGAAGGCATAAGATAACACCACGTCCTATTCCCTTACAAAACTAAAGAGTCTGGCAGTGATACTATTATTGAATCAGAGTAGTGACCCAGGGACAAAGTATAAAGCCAAAATCATACCACCCGTGATGTACTTCCTCCAACCACAACCTACCTGCCTACATTACCACCTAGCTAATCCATTTAAGTGGATCAGTTCACTGATTAGGTTACGATTCTCATAACCTAATCATTTCACCACTGAACATTCTTGCATTGTCTCACTCATGAGATTGTGGGGAACACCTCATATGTAAACCATAATAAGGCAGATGAATTTCAAATGACCTAAGTAAAGCTGATGATATATTTTTAAAAGATCAAAGAAGAGGTGCTTCACTAGGATTAAGAGACAATTACCCTTCCCATAATCTGATTTCTAATTTTTTAGGAGTAAATAATTCTAATATCATCTCCCTTTAGTAATATAAAAAATGTATTAACACTAGTTTTTTATATTTTTAAATTTGGTTCCATTTTGTATTTTTTACATATAATAATGATAACAAAATTAGTAGAATTGGGATATTTAAAGAAGTTAATTTTTTATATTACATTAGAATGTGTTTCCAATAAATAAGAAGATAATACAAAATATATTAAGAACACCATAAAGCTAATCTATCTAAAGTGTCATACTCTGGGCTAGAAAATCTATGATCTATTTTTCCAATTAATTTACATCAACTTCCAAATTAAATCCCAGAAAATGTTGGATGCTAGATCAACCCATGAAAATTATGAACAAGTAGAGTGTCAGTTGGTTTTCCTTTTCCGAATATAAAATGCTTCAATATACAGGATAGTGAGGCTTTCTTTCAACTCTTCTGAAAAGGCAAAAACAAAAGRAGAAAAAAAAGGAAAGGAAAGAAACACAGGATTCATGATTTTCTGCCCCTTCTCATAAGATAGGGGCAGGTATAGGATTTGTTCTATTATAAATATTCATTTTTTTCTATAGCAAAGATTCCATGTCTTATTTCATGAAGAATATTTATAAAAGATGTTTAACAAAAAGGTTTTCCTCTTAGGAAATAAATTTTAGGAAATAAAATTATGTTCAATCTTGCAGATTAACAAAGACAATAAGAATATAAAGATTTTGAGGAGGTCTTCAGTTAAGAGATGAATTTACTTTTATTTTTGCCTAATTTAAGTTGCAAAGTTTTTTTCACACAAAGACTACCACGTATCTGTCATAATTAGTACTAAAAGAAATGTAACTGGAAATTTCCTGACATATACTGTTATCTCTCTGAAATAAACTCTATGTTCCTAATGAATTTGTATTGCTTTCCTTTCCAGCGGACTGCGGAGGGCCTTTTGAACTGTGGGAACCAAATACAACCTTCAGCTCTCCGAACTTCCCAAACAACTACCCTAATCAGGCTTTCTGTGAGTCCATTTTTTTCTAGACCATAGTAAAGAGTTTATATATCAAGTTTGGGTCACTTCTTCAAACAATAAAATAGGTTATAAATTTATCAAACATGGGCACATCCATCATTTCTGCCTATGTGATTGCTTAATATAAAAATAAGCATCAAAATAACCACTAAATTTTATATATTTCATGCCAGGCAAAGTGCTAATGTCTAATACTATTTCAGTCAATTCTCACAATTATTCTTTAGAAAAAGTTGCTATTATTATAATTCTAAATTAGAAAGTTGGATAAAACCAACAAATGAGGGAACTGTCTTACTCCTAGTACTTCTCTCTTATTCACTGTCTTTGCTTCTGCACATAATGTCTTAGCATGCATAACAAGTTTTCAAGTTCATCATACAAAGTCAATGAGAAAAATATCAAAAGTAAAGAGCCATTTGTTCAATCAAGCAGACACCCAACGTAATGTGATTAGACTCACAGTATTAAAGAGTAAATAAAAGGGAGAACAGCTGCAACACCCAAATTCTAGAGAAAATAATTTGCAAAAACTGCACAAAGGCTATCTTCAGGTCAATATTTTTACCTTGAAAAACTCATTGTTGCACTGAAGATGTGGATTCCCCAGCCCACCCTACAAAGATCCTACTTCAGTAGATCTGAGCTGAAAAACAGACATTTTTGTCCCATGATCATGCCTAATGAGGAATGCTAATCTAGTTATAGAATTATAACTAGAATGAAAAAGTGTCCCAAAGGCAGTAGAAAATGCAYTGTTAGAAAATATCAACCTTTCTTCCTTCAGATGATCAAGAGATTAGAACGTATCACTTTCAAAGTCAAATATATTTATCTGATCCAATAAATGAATAAATAAACAGCTATTAATCTAATGTAACATGTATAGGGAAACAGATTATTATCTCTACTTCACACTGCAGGCAACTTTTAAAGATCATTTGAAGAAAGTAATGATCTTAAAAATATCCAAAAACAGTGGGACATTGAAACAACATTAGTCAAAATAAATTAAAGTATGTATTTATTCACCTAAATATTTACTAAGTGCTTTATTTGTTAGACATTGAAATAAGTAAAACAGGGAACATATATCATAATCTAGTAGGAAATCAGATAATGATTCAAGCATAAAATGTTAAAATAAGGGTGAACACAGGACATTATGCAGGAGAAACATAGAAGGGTATTTACATACAAATACAAAGGGCCATTACTATTTCTGACTCTCTAAGGAAAATTAAATAACAATGACAGCTAAAATGGAAAGTGTGAATTAATTTTGCACTATGTTATAGAATTTGAATTTCTTTTTCTGGATGCAGAAGGGAAATTTCAAACAGTTTACAGGAAAACTGTGTTAAAATCAAGTTTGCCTTTTAGAAAGATCTATCTGGCTACAGTGCCAAAAAAGAATAGTAAGGGAGAGGAGTCATCAGCATCACTGATTGGGGAGTGAGAGATGGAAGTGCTTTAACCTTCGACAGTAGCAATGGATATTGAAAAATAAATGGAATTCAAGGGATATATGAAGTTGTATTGACAGGCATTATCAAATGATTAGATAAAATGAGAGAGACCACATTCAGGAAAATGTGAACTTCCTGGCTTGTATATCTGTGAATCTGTGGCAGCATTCACTAAGATAGGAAGAAGAAAAATGAGTCTGCAAAATAAACAATGCTCTATTCTCCTTGGATCTAATTGGACACAAGATATGTACATCCATGTACAGTAATTGGATAAATTTGTCTTTGTCTACTCTCCAGTGAAAATGCAGAAAATAAAAACTTAGAAGTCATTACCAATACATGAAGTTTTATTCCTTAATTTGAATTAAAGCACTCCTACACAGGGAGAAAATGGCTTAGAACAGAATCTGAGGGTTACAACACTTTATAAATCATTCTATAAACCAATATTTATAGATACTGACAATTTGGGTATCTTTCTTAAAATTGGATCACCACCATACATAATAAACACAAAAAATTTAAAATAAATGYTAAAATTTACTTGTCCTGTGTATCAATCATATCACACTTCAACATTTAATTTTCTTATAAATTTAGACRTGGAAAACTAAGTGAAATGAATCACAATCTTAATACCTTTAGATATCCATAAATTTCATACTATAGTAGGTAAATGACTATTTGCTATATTTTATTAAAGTATTTTCATAAGAATAAAACAAATACAATTGTGGTAAATTAACTAAATTTAACTGAAGGTTTACATAAATATTATTTACCAGAGCAATATATTTCCTAGTCAAAATTCAAGAAAAGGACAAGGGGAAGGGAGGAAGAAAGTAAGGGATGGGGGAAAGGTAAGGGAAGGAAGGAAAGAGACAAAGAAGTAAGTTTGGAGTGTTGGTTTTCCTGGAATTAAAATATATATATATATATATTTTAAGCAATTTGAAATTTTCAAGACTGAAATTTTTAATGGAAATCAAAATAAGTGTATTATAAATTAAATGTTATTATTTATAATTTTTAAGGTGTTTGGAATTTAAATGCACCAGAGGGAAAGAATATACAACTTCATTTTCAAGAATTTGACTTAGAAAATATTGCAGATGTAGTTGAAATCAGAGATGGTGGAGAAGATGATTCCTTGTTCCTGGGTATGTATGCAATATGAAGACTGCAAAAGTCATACATCTCAGACATTGCACTGACTCGGTACTTCTAAATAGCTGTGATCATTTTACAACTAACAAAATGAAAATATAGAAGTAGGGTAACTTGTTGAGTTTTAAGTGAAACTTTCAGTATGGGGCATGTTTTCAATGGTGACAAAATAACATTTATTATGAATATTCTTAGCCAACAAGGATTAATATTTTTGAGTCATTGGTTCCCACTAGCTAGCATTAATTTTCTACAACAATCCCTATAATTCAGAGACTAAGCACTAAAGGTACCTATCATGTAGTTTTCTATGTATTCTGTATATATCAGATATGCATAAAAATAACTCCTAAACCCAGGGTTTATTTCATGTCAAAATAGCCAAACAAATTGAATTTGTTACATAAAAATTTTAATTATTTTTGGTTTACATTCATTATTATTTTTTCCTGCCATTGTCTCTATTACTAGCTCCTTCTATATAGGTATCTAGGAATGTCTCAAAAACTGATCTAAGTTGATTTTTTCCTATTATCTATTATTTTTTAAAATATGGGAGGAGTATGCTCTTCTAGAGAAAATTTTTGTAGCTTTATCACAAAATACACGTGGAAAAATTAAAAGTCAAACATAGTTGTTACTAATACCAATTTTTGAGAAAGGAATTTCTTATGCCAAGTCACATATAAAATTATGAAGATATTGAAGCATGTCAGTCAGCTTGAATGCATGAGACAACACAATTTGGGACTTAAAAGTGTTTTGTCTGAGTGTGCTTTGGACCCATTTTCATCATTTACTTTAAAATCCAGTCTGATATCCTTGCAATCAGAATACAGTTTTGTAAACACTGCAATCAATGGGTGAAGGCTGCACAGGAAACTTTCCCAAGCCCATGAAAGATTCTTCAGAAAGATCTCACACAGTTCTAGAATGTAAGCCTCCTGTTAAAGGAATTTGAGAGTAACAGAGAGAATAAATAACAAAAGCCTTGGGGGAGAATAGATACTCAAGAACTGGAGAACTTGAAATTTGCTTTTCACATTCCTATTTATGAACATATTTTGAGAATTTTTCCCTTTTTACATCAAATTGTCTTTTTAATTACTTGGGTGTTCTCATGACCAAGAAAAATAAAAATTCAAAATTTTTTCTTTTACTCTTTACACAAATAATTGAAAAGAAAATAAGAATTCCAGAGAGAGCTCATTGTTTTCATATTTGTAGGTAGGATTTCTCTSAATCATTTTTAGTACTTCTAGCATATAAAACAATATAAAAATGAATGTATCTTTTTAATTAGCTAAAGTATTATTTAGTAAAGAGTGTTTATAAAATCTGTAAAGTCCAGAGATTAGTGGGATATAGTTTTTAAAAACCACCATTGAAGTTTATTGTATGTAATCCATCCTTCAGATTACATTTATAATTCAACTTACAAAAAAATATGAAATAAATGTGGACAAAAATTTACTAAGGGAGACTATACTGTCGATTGTTTTATAAAAGTGTTTTTAAAAAGCCAAATGATGATTTTTCTTGGCTAACAAGTTATTTAAACAGTGGTGGTGTTAAGCCAGATAATATTTTGAGTAATGTATTATGGAATCATAGAGCTTCAGAACTTCAAGTAATATTTTAAAAGATGGAGAAAGATGCTGGCTTCATGAAAGCAATGTCTAAAATATAAAGGAATGCACACATTTGTTCATATATGGCTGCTTCATGAGTGAGCTGTGGTGCATGTAGTCCTATGACCAGCCCTTGAATGTGAAATAAACGGTCTGTTTCTTTCTAGAGTCAAAGGTTTCACTAATTATCTCATTTTCCTTTGGAGCAGCTGTGTACACAGGGGCTGGTCCAGTGAAGGACGTGTTTTCTACCACCAACAGAATGACTGTGCTTTTCATCACTGATCTATTGTTGGCCAAAGGGGGATTTAAAGCTAATTTCACCACTGGTTATCACTTGGGAATTCCAGGTAAGCAAAACTGCACAAGGTCCATCACTTTTGAAGCATAAAAAATGAAAATATACAAGATTTCAAGGCCTAAATCACAACTTAGATGTTTGTATTCTGAGATATGTATCCTTCCTCATCTGTATGATCATTATCTACATGTTCAAAACAGGAATCTGAATTGTTTTTCTTCAGATCCACTTGCATTTCTTTGGTTTGCTGAGAGTATTGAACTTTGCTCAATAAAAAGGGTCATGTTAAGCATTGAAAGTGTAGCAACTGCCCCTGTAAGGAAGGACTTTGTCATGTTCCCTTGCCAGGATCATATTCAGAAGCATCAGGGAGACAGACAAGTGAGCTGCTGAAATGCCAGCAACATCCAATTAAAAAATTTAAACTCATCAACTTATTAGAGACAACCAGTATAAGGTGGCTGCAATAAAGGAATTAATACTAATATTTCTGATATGTGCAACTTTCTTATCTTGAACTTTTTTTATATACATAACACAATCAGCAGGAACAAACAAAATTGTGATCTACATGTGTGTGTATAGACAGAGATGCATAGATTTATTTAAGTTGACATTTACACACACACACACACACACACACACACACAGAGGATATAGACATACATATACAGAATGATGTAACTCTTTGCATTCAGTAATCTCCAGGGAAATTTTTTACAACTTTTGCCAATCAACTCAGGCTGTCATTTATCTTACACAGCTACTGCTCCACAATGCAGTGGCTCTTTCCAGGTAGAAATATATCAGAAATACAAAATACACATTACTTCCTACATCTCTCTTTTCMTCTGTAGGAGGCTGGTCTATTTGTCTTTCATTGGAATATCTTTAAAAAAAAATAGACATGTTTGCATGCTTGATCCTCATCTTGCCTATTGTCTAATCCTAAATCTTGTTGTGCAACTATATTTGTTTTCATCTGTTCCTCTACTCATAATGGCCTAGATTTTTCATCACATCCCTAGAACTTCTCTGCTTTTAGTTTTATTGCAGCTCAGAAAGTTCATCTTCACCTGGACTACCCTCTGGCCCTGAAAATAAACCACAATGTTGGTTATTACCAGTTATTTACTTAGGGATGAGTAGTTTGCCCAATCAACTAGTCTTCCTTTCTGGATTTTGTAATTGGTTTTAGAACAGTTGCTTTTGACTAACAAACAACAGTGGCACAAATAATCAAAGTAATCAATTAGTGAAATAAATGAACATAATGAAGCCAATGGAAAAACATATAGCACAAAAGAAATRAACACAAGGTCTTTAGAAAATTAGAATTTATCTAAAAATTAAAAACAATGAAAAGTAGAAAATGAAAAAAAAAGTTCATATAAAGCAAAGAATGTACAAGATGATGTGTTTTGTTAAATAGTAAAGAATAAAATGCATTGACAAAAATATCAGTAACAATTTGTCTATATATATATATATAAGCGGAATAAAATTCAGAAGAAAATTAAATTACTGCTTTGGAAATATTAATAAAGATAATTTGGTGAATGTCATTTTGAATTTAGTCATTAATCCTGTCCCTTGATAGTTTTGTTACTGCTGATTATACTATGATAATCATGTTTATCTGTCAAGAGTTTATCTACACTTGCAGTTTCTTTCTTTTTAAGATGTACCCTTTATTTTAATTTGATTCAACAGTTGATCCAACTTATGATAATCATTTGATTTTTTGATGATATTTTTAAAGTATACACAGGTAATGGAAAGATGAGAAAATTTTAGTAGTTAATTTTTAAACTACTTTAAAATAAAAGATACTTTGGATGTTGTTTAAGTCAGCTTTTTGGTTGCTGTGACTAAAAGACCTAAACTGAACAATTACAGAGGAGGAAAAGGTTATTTATGGGCTCATGGTTTCAGATGTCTTAGGCCTGTTCCATTTCTTGGGCTTGGGAACTCTAGGTGAGGCTGAACATCATGGTGGGAGAGTGTGGCAAAGGGAAGCAGCTCACTTGATGATCATAAAGCAGAAAAAATCAGCTCACCAGATACAAATATATACACCAAAGCCATGCCCCAATTCCCACATCCTCCAGCTATACCCTGCCACTTCATTTAATTCCAACAGGGATTAATCCACTGATTAGGCCAAGGCTATAACTCAATCATTTCTCCTCWAAACCCTCTTGCATTATCTCACACATGAACTTTCTGGGGACACCACATCCAAACCATTACATTGTTTGATAAAAACCAATTTGTTTTTATTGTTTAATAGAAAAATAAATTTTAAAGAAAAGAAAAAGCAAAACATTTGAACCATTATTTTTACACCTCAAATAGTGAATCTGATTTTTAAAAATTAGTATATAATTTTTAGTGCCTGTTAGAATAGTTCTCGATTAGCATCTATTTCCAATGTCAATTGCAACACAGCCTCCCTTCAGAAATTTGGAAAACAATGGTTGTCTTTAGCCAAAACAATTACCTGGGAAACTTCCACTACCAGATTATTCTCTGGCATAATAGAAGTCTTTGTTAGTAATATGAACCACATAATCTTCAGGTTAATGGTATAATTCAAAGACTCAGGTTAAAAATTACCTATATTTCCACAAAAATTGCTACATAAAAATATAATGATGAATCCAAAAACAATAAAATATGGGAAAATAAGAATATTTGCAATAGGCATGCAGGAGATAACCCCAAACCACAATCTGAAAATGATGAATATTCCCAAAGGAAAAGAATAGGTTAAAACTGACAGTGAAAGATACAATGGGGAAAAATAATACACTTTCTGGATCTGACTAAAATTACCTGAAAAATTGTGAAGTCTTACAGTGTTTCATTTTTAAAAAAGTAATAGGCACAAATTAATGTTATAACATTTCCTACTTAAAGTTTTACATTTTTAAGGAAATTTTTGTGAATTCTTAAGCAAAATAAAAGTAATTATTATCCCCAGGTATTGAAAAGGAAACAGCTTCACATTTAATGATGAACATGTGAAAACAGTGATAGTTCTAAATTTTTAAGATACTGCTACAAATTATAAACAGTACAGGTATCAGTAATGTATCAGTAGAATTATGTGCTCTGGTCTGCAAAGTATCATAAAATGGTGCAAACAAATATCTAGTACTTGTTCCACTAGAGAAGGGATATCCCCACATTTTTCAAGGACTTTTATCCTGAAACCAAATTTTAAAAGAGATATTCTGGTTTTTAAATGGAACTGAGTAATGAAACTGAAATAACTGAAATTAAAATACTATGCTCTAAAAAATAGGTAAGTGGATTTATTCATAAATCCAAACACTTGTATGAATTATAGGGCATTTCTCCATCTGCAAAATTGAAGGCACCTTGAAACACAATTTTAGAAAAATAGTAGATCTGTAAATTTGTATTTTAATTTGCCAATGAGAAGAGAGGACATAAATTAAAAGAGAAGAGAAATTCACCTGGAAAARTAATCAACAAATATATTTTWAAAATGCTCATCATCTCTAGCAATCAGAGAAAAGCAAATGAAAACTACTCTAAGATTTCATCTCGCTCCATTCAGAACGCAGCTATTATGAAGACAAACAGCAGTAACTGTTGGTGAGGATGTGGGGGAAAAGGTACACTCATACATTCCTCGTGGGACTGCAAATTGGGGCAGCCAATATAAAAAGCAGTATGGAGATTCCTTGGAAATCTGGGAATGGAACCACCATTTGATCCACCTATCCCTCTCAGACTGTACCCAAAGGACTTAAAAACAGCATACAATAGGGACACAGCCACATCAATGTTGATAGCAGCACAATTCACAATAGCTAAACTGTGGAGCCAACCTAAATGTCTTCAGTGGATGAATGGATTAAAAAATGTGGCATATATACACAATGGAACTTTTCTCAGCAGTAAAAGAGAATAAAATCATGGCATTTTCARGTAAATGKATGGCATTGGAGAAGATAATGCTAAGTGAAGTTAGCCAATCCCCAAAAAACAAATTTCAAATATTTTCTCAGATATAAGGAGGCTGACTCATAGTAGGATAGGGAGGGGGAGCATGGGAGGATTAGATGAAGTCTAGATAGGGAAGAGGGGAGGGAGGGAAAGGGAGGAAGCAAGGGATTAGCAAGATGGTGGAATGTGATGGACATCATTATCCAAAGTATATGTATGAAGACATGAATTGGGTATCAACCTAGTTTGTATACAAACAGAGATATAAAAAATTGTGGTATATATGTGTAATAAGAATTGTAATGCAAAAAAAAGTACATGTATAAAGACATGAATTGGTGTGAACATACTTTATATACAAGATATGAGAAATTGTGCTCTATATGTGTAATAAGAATTGTAATATATTCCACTGTCATGCATTAAAAAAATTAAATCAATTAAATAAAAAATCAATTAATTAATTAATTAATTAACTAAAAGAGAAGAATGACTTGAGAAAAGGAAGCTGAGAACAAGTGTCTTGAGTAAAAAGTAATACAGTTGTTGATTTTTATTCATTTTTTATTATAAAATAAAAACAGTAGCAAATATTTTGAAAAAATATTACAAACAATTGTTATTCAAAGTATAATCCCAAATTATATCATCTATTGCTCTTAACATAAAAGAGATACCAGGTTTATAGTATTAAGGGTTCTTTGAATTTTTTTTCCGTACAGTGAGATTTCAGTGATTTCTGTTTTGTAATTTATGAAATAAATTATGCAAAAAAATTTCTTGATTGAGGCTAGAATGGAATCATTCATGTTCATAACTTGGTGATCTATATGTGATAGCTTCATATCAAAGAAAACATTCAGCCTTTGTTTTTTGAGATTGGCTTATTTCACTTAGCATTTTGTTCTCCAACTCCATCTATTTTCCTGCAAATGCTATGATTTTATTCTCTTTTAATGCAGAGTAAGGTTCCATTGTGTATATATGCCAAAGTTTCCCTATCCATTCATCTACTGAAGGGCATCTGGGTTGGTTCCACAATTTAGCTATTGTGAATTGTGCTGCTATAAAAATTTATATGGCTGTGTTCCTGTAGTATGCTGTTTTAGATATAAACTGAGGATGGGATAGCTGGGTCAAATGGAGGTTCCATTCCAAGTTTTCCATGGAATCTCCATACTGTTTTCCAGATTGGCTGCACCAATTTGCAGTCCCACCAGCAAATGTATGAGTGTGCCTTTTTTCCCACATCCTCACCAACACTTATTGATGTTTGTATTCTTGATAGCTTCTATTCTGACTGGAGTAAGATGAAATCTTAAGAGTAGTTTTGATTTACATTTCTCTAATTGCTAGCAATATTGAACATTTTTTTTCATATATTTGTTGATTGATTCTATAACCTTTTCTGAGAAGTATCTGTAATGTCGATGGGGTTGGGGAGCATGGGAGAAATGGAGGAACTTTAGATAGGGCAAAGGGGAGGGAAGGGAAAGAAGGAGACAAGGGGGTAGAAATGAGTTAGACATCATTACCCTACATATATGTATGAAGACACGAATGGTGTGAAAATACTTTGTGTGCAACCAGTAACTTGAAAAATTGTGCTCTATATGTGTAATATGAAATGAAACGCATTCTGCCATCATGTATAACAAATTAGAATATAAACATATAATTTAATAAAATAGGTTATAGCTTCAAATTCCTCCTGGAGCTGAGATAGACGCTGTTAGAAAAAGAGGTCATCAAGCTGTCATCAGTATAGTCTTTTTCCATCAGAATTTTTGACACCAAAAGACTGTAAACCAATTACAAAAAAATGGACTTGGTGATGAAAGATAATCAAGCTGGTGATAGAAAGAGATTAGCACACATATCTATGTATACAGATGCTCTACCCTGGTGGTCATTTTTAAAAAGTAGATATAAAGGGTATTGTGAATTCTTTTGAGTATTTATGTTCTTGATTTACCATCTGAGACATTTTAGAAATCCTTTCAAGGCATTCAATGGAAATATAATATAATCATGTAATGTATTTTATATCTTTTACTTATCCTATTTTAAACATTTCTACTTATATTGAACAAGAAAAATATTTATAACAGGTACTTTATTGAGATAACTGTCCTATAATAGTAGACTCATTGCTCTTTCCTAATAATCAGAATCTGTCTAAGGAATTGAGTACTGCCTATCAGGCAACTTGGAAGTGGCAAATGATTACTTTTAGGGATTTGAAGTCCTCCCTGGATTGTGTGGCATGTGCCTTAGAGACCAGTTTAAAGCCATTTAAAGTCAAGCATATGTTGACTAAATGAGGCAGGGGTACGAGAGACTTCATAAAGAGAAGATGGGGAAATTTGATTCTTAGCAACATTTCTTTTTCCCCTCTCTCACTATGAACATAAAACTATCAGAAATAAGATTTCGGAGTCCAGAGAGAGTTAAACTGTTGGATTAAAGACTTCTTAATGAAGCTGAACTGCTGTATGTTGCAGAGAATCAAAATCAAGCTTATGCATGTAAGGAAAATTTTAAAATAGCTTATTTATACCTCTCCTCAGATTTTATACTTTCTGTTCACTTCAGCAACAATATATTATTTTGTCGCATTCAGCATTTTTTAAAATCAATTCATTCAGCCTGCAGAAACAAGTTATTTTTTCTCTGTGTTCATAAGGTATAATACTAATAGCTTTGGCTAACACACAAAAATGAGTTATAATATGTATTTTCATTTAAAATTGTATTCAATATTTAAATTTATTTCTACTTAGCTCATTTTTTTCAATTACATATATCATGACTACTCTAGTCAAAGAGTAAATTACACATAAATTTATCAATGATTAAATTATTGCATTRAGTCATTTTTTACATAATTATTTTAATAAACAATGAAAAATATGATGAGATAATTTAAAATAACTAATGATGACAAACATTCTACAAGCATATTAAGGTATTTGATTATGGACATGGCATTAGTACTGTCAACTTCTTAAAATAAATATAATATACATCAAAATATGGATTTAAGAAGGAATATATACATATTTGAACATGTGTACCCAGTTTTAAACCTCCCTGTTTTCTGAATAAAAATTAATACTAAAAAATAAAATATAGTTTCAATTAAAGTATTAATATCTACCTGTAGAATATGTAATAATCTTTGTCCATTTGTCATCTCACTAATCTGGTTAAAAATATGTGTTTATGAAACAAATTGGTAATTACATTTACAAGAACATCCCTAATAGTATTATTTTTGAGAGATGAAATCCACTTTCCTCATGGTATAAATGCTTGTAAAAACAACCAGTCATGGCTTCCTAAAAACATTTTTTATTAAGATAAATTAGATTTGGTCTGAAAAAGTACAGAATTTTTCAAAATCTAAAGAATACAGATARCTTCAATTATTATTGTAAGATACCAGTAGGGAAGGAGTAGGCATATTTTCTTGTTTATATGGTTATTTGGAGGGGAAAGTAATGCAACCAGCACATAGAATGAGAATGTTAACTTTAAAATATCATCAAAAGGAGAATCTCTTTTAAAATATTACTGTTTTGCTATTAATATTATCTATTGAGGACTCACTGTATTTGTAAGCAAAAATAGTTTTAAAATTAACTTTCATGGTATATTTAAGACAAAATTAATAATTATTCCTATTTGACATTCTAGGAAACTGAGTCTCAAAAAGATTATTTTATTTGCCCAAGGCCAAAAAATACAAAAGAAAATGGCTAAACTGCAGCTCAGAAAAAGGTCATATGATTCCAGAGCCAGTATTTTAAACACTATTAAAATTTAAATGAACAAATTTTGCCTTATGAATTTATAAAAATCAATTTTTTCAAATCACTAAAATTACCATCARTCAGTTGCCTTAAATGTAAAACTATATAGTTTTGTAATAGCAGTTTAAAAAGTACCTTATACTTTATCAACCATGCTGATTTCTAGCCTATCAATCATTTAACATATATTAGTCTCTTTAATGTTCAACAAATATCTACTAGTTTACTATTGCATGTCATTTTGCCAAGTCTTGAGCTTACAATGAGGAAACATGGCAAATTGGATTTTTATCTCTTACATTGTATATTCGGCTTTTAGAATGACTGGACCCAATGAAATGTATAGACAAAGAGATCTTTATTTGTTCCCATCTACTTTATTTAAAATCTCCCATTTTTTCCCCCTTGATATTTCAGGCAGATCTCTTCACTTTTCTGCTTACTTCAGGCATTAAATTATCTTAACTGAATACCTAAGAAAACTTTAATAAAATGTATTATCAAGGATAGCATCAAGTGTCCATATCATCTAATTCAAACATTCTTTAATCTTCCAACTCAGGCGTTGTGGAATACAGTCGTTGTCTTTGGAGATTTCCCTTTTTGCCCCAGACTACAACATAAAGAGTTCACTTCCAAGATCATTTCTTATAATGCTGCACAATTCTGAATCGCGACGGCTCCCCACCTCCACCCCTGTCCAGGATCCAGTCCTGGACATCTTTGTGTTACAGTCTGGTTGCCCCAACAGGCTGCTATTGCCCTGGGATGTGTACATCTTTCCCAGTTTTTAGATGACCAACTTTCTGACTTCTAAATTCTTTACATGGGAATTGATCATCAATATTTACACAGCTTTCTTCTCACAAACCTAGGGAACTAAAGTCATCATCTTCTGTGAAATTTTGTAGTTAACCTAAGTTTAGTATGGGAATTTTCAGAAGTTGGTCATGAAATCAGTTTATCTGGTTTTCACCAGCTTTCCCTGTTTTGGTATGGAATGGATAGAATGGGATAGAATAGAGTGGAATAGAATAGAACAGAATGGGATAGGATAGAAGAGGATAGAATAGGATAGGATAGGATAGGATAGGATAGGATAGGATAGGATAGGATAGGATAGGATAGGATAGGATAGGATAGAATAGAAAATTTATTCAGTCACACAAACACACATTGATGCATGTCCTGGAGTTATGATCGAAATGTATTCAAACTAAAGTTAGCATTTAAAAAAATCTGAAAGCTTTTGTACTTGTCCCACAGGTTCTGTAGTATTATAAACTTATCTGGGGAGTGGGATTCTGACTTCCTTTTTCTGGGCAACCCAATATGAATTGGTTCCCTTAGGGAACTCCACACATGGTTTGCTGTATGGCACTTTTCTTTCCTCCCCCACAGGAGGGCACTCTTTCAAGATCTAAGGCTAGTCAGTCTTTAGTTTGTTTGTTAGTTTTTCAGAAAAAAACATAAACAAARAACAGTGATCCACTTTGGGGTTATTTTTAAATTTTTAATATCTATAAATAGGTGATTAATATCGATAGTTGAGCAATCCATTTGTGATATTCTGTTATTGTTGTTTTGTGTATTATGTAGATTTACTACATCACTTTATAGTATAAAATATTAATTAATGCTCTCAGATATAGGTTTGCAAGCTATATTCTAAACAGAAACAGTTCMTTTCAAGTACTATCATAATTTGCCATCATAAATTGAGAGTCTAACAGAAATGATGAAGAAACATGTATCCAAAACCTCTTAGACAACATTTAGAACTGTCCCACAAACTCAGAAAAGGAGATGCCTGTTGTTTCATGAACACTTCCTTGAAATCAGATGTATTAGTTTGACACTATTTGTGAAGCAATTTGTGTTAACTAAGCGTATGGCATTTTTAATGTCAAAGCTGGTTCTGCCATGTGTGACAACGGGCTGATGTTTGAGGGGCCTACATGCAGTGGGTATACCAAAATCATTTACTTGCAATATCCTTGCCCTGTACAATAAACATTCTTTCTACACAGAGCCCTGCAAGGAAGACAATTTTCAGTGTGAAAATGGAGAATGCATTCCCCTGAATAATCTCTGTGACAGTCACCCACACTGTACAGATGGCTCAGATGAAACACACTGTGGTAGGTCTTGTTTTTATGAAAATACTCATATGACTTTTGCTTCTGTATTTGGATCCACAAATGTGAAAGGGAGATCATGACTGTACTTATCACATTGTGTTTTGATGTTTTTGAGTGTGAACACCTCCCAGTGATTTTAGCACTTCTGTACCATTCTGGTTTAGGAGAAAGTTAATATGCTGGCCTCTGTTTTTTTGTTTGTCTATTTAAACTAGGCTAAATTTAATARTAATAAGTCTGGGACAATCAATCCTCATAGATAAGCAAAACGCCACAGATTCAAGATACCAAACAGACGCTTACTCCCACTTACAGTAACCGTGTGTTCTGTCCATTGCATACAAAGAAGAGAGGCCTTGCTTTGTACATATAGCCCAGTCCCCTTGGAGATCACTGTAGCAATATAAATAGCAGATTATTTTCTATGTATTATTTTTATTTCTAAGAAAATATTTAATGCATATCATATTTATATACACACACACATACACACACACACACACACACACACACACACACACACATACCATTTTCTACAGACTAACTAAGCCCAGTAAAAACACTCCAATAATAAAGACTGACTCTACTTTAGCTATGATGAAATTGAGTTTTAGGGAAATTATATGGCTGCCAAAAGGTCACACCCTTAAGAGGGCTAAAACTATATTTTCACCTAAGTCTAATTCTAAAGTCAACACCTTATGCTTTTCAGAAGAATAAAATATAAACAACAAATACAATGTTGAATATGTAGTTAAAAACCATGGCTGATGTTTGTCTTGTTTGATAAACTAGCATAGTTTTCTCTAGTCCCTACCTAGGCATGAACACCCTTAATATTCTACCAAAATGTTGATGAGACATTGGGGAAGATTACAGCACTAAACAGCAAACCTGCAAATGCAAATAAAATAAAGGTTTTAGGAAAAGAAATAAGAATGAAAAGTGTCTAAAATTTTTCCTGAACTTGGGTTTTCTTTGTATAAGAGACAAGTTTCCAAGGTATGCTCTCTATAAATAACTTTATTTTATGTTTACTGATATGCAATAGACTTGCATATCTCTACTGCCTCCATTTTTTTTAGTTATATAAAAGAACAAAATTAAGTCAATTAAATTCATGTTTCCAACTTAACACCCTTCAACATACTCTTAAGGAAAACTACAATCAAACTCTAAAGTCCAAATCTTAAGAATATTGCACATTTTATTTAAATGTTATCATTTATTCTTAGTAACCTAGGTCAAAATAACCCTATCTGTAATGTAATCTCTTTAATACATCTGAGTGTCATGTTTGTGTGTTATTTTTTTAAAAAAATTATAAATTAGATTATAATTTTATATATTTATGGGGTACAAAGTGATGTTATGATATATGTATACAAGGTGGAATGATTAGATCAAGCCAATGGACCTATCCCCATCACCTCAAATAACTATTATTTTTTATGGCAAGAAAAATTTCAATTTCCTTTTTAGAATTTTGAAAATATGCAGGGCATTATTGCAGCCTCCATGCTGTGCAATAGGTGTTAAAAACCTTCCTCCTATCTGAATGAAATTTTGTATATTTTTGACCATTTTCCCATTCTGTCCATCCTCCACTCTCTGGTAACCACCTTTCTATCTTTTGAATCTTTAGTGCGTCTTTTCAATGGCACAATGAACAACAATGGTTTGGTGCAGTTCAGAATCCAGAGCATATGGCATGTAGCTTGTGCCGACAACTGGACCACCCAGATTTCAAATGATGTTTGTCAGATGCTGGGACTAGGGTAAGTAAGTCTACTCAGCTATTTTTTAGAAATTCTTAATCTCTTTGGCCTGGCTCAGTGATGCACGCTTATAATCCCAGCAGCTCAAGAGGCTGAGACAGAAGGATTGCTAGTTCAAAGCCAGCCTAAGCAATGGCAAGAAACTAAGCAAATCAGTGAGACCCTATCTCTAAATACAAAATAAAGGCTGGGGGTGTGGCTCAGTAGTTGAATGAGTTTGATACCAGATACCATCCCCCCAAAAAGAAAAAGAAATTCTCAAATTTTTGCTGATATCAAGTTGGATTTATTTGAAACTAATTAAAGTTGTAAATTTTAAAATATGCATGAAAGGAAGAAATAAAAATATYAACTAAGCCCTATCCTCAAATAATAACTACTGCTAATAGTCTTTTATGTTACATAAATAAGTATACATAAATATATTATACACAATGTGTTGTGTTCTATAGCCTACTTTCAAATGAGYATTGTTCATTTTTCTAGATTATAATTTTAACAAAATGAAATACAGTTAATTTTTGGTATCTTTAGATATCCCATGGATAGCAAACTCTAAAAATGTTCAAGTCCCTTGTATAAAATAATGTAGTATCTGCATGTAACCTTTACAGTTCCTTCCATATACTTCTGATACCTAATACAATATAAGCAATGTGTGAATAGTTGTTATAATATATTGCTTAGGGAGTAATAACAAAACTATGAGGTCTGTAAAGGTAAGAACCAAGCTGTGATAACTTTCATCTCTATTACATATACCTGAGACAACCACTTTATAAAGAGATAAGGTTTATTTTGACATACACAAAGGTTGTTATCATAATTAATCAGTTCCATCACTTTTGGCCTCTGGGGAGACAGGATATAATGAAAGGAACACTTAGCATAATAAAATTGCTTTACTCATAACCTAGAATGCAAAGAAGGACAAAGTCCCCTTCTAGGGTGCTCCTCAATGACCTGAAGAACTCCCAGTAGGTTCTACCACTTAGTAGTAGAGCCATCTCTGAACAGCACCTCCCTGGGGACTAACCCTCCAATACACAGAGCTTTGGAAAACATTTAAGACCCAAACTATATCACATATCTATTTTTGTTGCTGTGGGTCACTGGCTACCTCAGTCACAGCAGGTGTGGGGGACATGGAGTCAAAACACATACAATGGGAGCTGGCAGGTGGCAACCTCAGCAAGCTAGTTTAATGCGGAAGTGATTACAATTGATGTAGGGCATGGGTAGGGCGCATCCTCCAATCATACACAAGCAAAGCAGGTTATACAACATCTAGAAAACAATTGTCTTATGATTAATGTCACCACACTATGAAGAAGCTCTAAATATTGCTACATGGTGGAAGGCAGTCTGGAAGGATCGTTGTTGCTATGAAAGGGGGGCTTTATGAGTTAGGGGAATCATGCCCTGAGGCCCTTGCCTCTCGGTTCCCTGGCAATACTGACCTCAAACACTAAGGATATGTTTTCTCAGATGGCTCCCTAGGGCAGAGCRCCCCATCCTGCAGGTGTTCCTGTCAGGCCTCTATGAGCCTAGGTTTTTCAAGCACTCTGAGCTGCTCATAGCTGCTAGCTGCAAACCGAAAGTTACTCCTACATATTTTATCCATTATTGTTTACATCAGGATTAATCCTTGCCTCAAAAAAATAGGTGCAAAGTAAATGTTCTTTAAGACAATAAATTATTCATAATGTGTCCATGTATGCACACATAAATATATATACATCTACCTAGCAAAATGCACACAAAATATTGTCCAATTATAAATTGTTTTTTTCTTCCTGTTCTAAACTGTTGATTTTTTAACATATTCTAAAAGATATAACGAAAAAAAGGAAATAATCCATGAGTGTATATGTGTATACACACATAAGCATTTAATAGATATCCCCAATATCTCTAGTTCTTCCAATCAAATGCAATTGATTGCCTTGTGTATAAGGGACTTTTCTTTCTAATTGACTAGTTTATATAGCAGAATCTTAATGTGGCACACAAGTTTCCAAATTTTGTTTCAAATTAGTATTGTAACTTTAGCTTTGTTTGAATCTCAAAACACATTTTCACTAGAAATAGCCTTACATGTAATAGTTAAGTCTCTAGGCTAACACACAAAGCCTGGTTAATTCTAGTATACTGAGAAAATTGTRTTCTATACCAGTGCCAAGATAATACACAGCCACTACATGTAAGCAGTTTTTATCATTGGAAACTATGCTGAGATCTTACTTAGAACGTTAGGAGTGATCCATAACTTCTTGCACATGGACTTGAAGTTTCCAGATTTCCTTGCCTCTCCAAATTCTGTGCATTTAAAATGGGAACTCCTCCATTGAAGGCCTCATATGAGTGATAATAGCCTTATCCAGAAGGCAATTTTTGTSAAGAACAGAGTTCCATTATGTAAATAATTATTGATTTAGTTTATGTTTATTAGTACTAGTCAGAAACTCCCTGTACTTTAGATGAGCATGTGTGTTTGCRTAATATTTTTTCTATTATATGTTTCACATTGTATTCTCACAAAAACCCTTTCAACTTGAGGAAGAGGATCAGGCAAGAGTCTGGGAAGAGGGTGGGTTGTAGGAGGAATACTGASTCGACAAAGCACTGAAACTGATAGTCTATTCTCACTTCAAGTGGAACACTGGGTAAGTGGCATTGATTGCAGTTTCCGCCTTTAACATTGACTTTAGTTCAACAGTGAAGTCAGAGAGGGAAGACCCTAGGAAGTACTTTGCTTCTACTGCTCAAGTTGTCTGTAATGCTAAGGAGCTCTGTGTTGCCCACCTTGTAAAGATTAAGCTAAGGAGATTGGTAACTTGACCTCTCTCCAGATGGCTGCATTAGAATGTTCTGGATGGTTGAACTTTCATTGCCCAAGAGCCTTGTGTCTCAATTCACCAGCTTCCTAAGCATCATCRGTTAATTATATATACAGTGGCTCTTTTCAATGTGGCTTGTGAATCAGAGCTAAACTGCTTCTTAGACCACGTTTGGCATTAAGATTAGTCACTTCTTTGCAAAGGTCAAACTTACTTTGAAAAAGAGTGTTTTCAATAAATTTAAATGAAATATGTTAAATGGTAGGGCATAATGCTAAATTCTACATTCATATGACAGAATGCAGAATAAAGAATATATCTTCACTAMATTTCAACAGTACATAAAATAAATATAGTATTCTTATTACTCCTGGATTAGAACTAGTATTAGCAATGAAATTGTGTCATGTTCGTGAATGAATAAGACATGATTTTTGTTGTAAATTCTTATGTGCGGGGGGCGCGGGTAGAAACATAAATAGAGAATCACAAGGTAATGTGAAAAACACAATGTGATATAAGACAACCTAACTCACYTTGGTCATATTAGGGAAGTCTTTCCAGAAAATGACCTGACCTCAGTGGATGAAAGTCAGTTCCGTACAACCGTGTACTATTTATTTACGTTTCTCTTTTCCCCAGTMGGAGTCTACTTTCTAGTTCACTGACCTTATTTCCTGTGGAAAATACCTTCCAGCTGGAGACAGGGACAAAGAGCTAGGTTTGTCAGCATAAGAAACAAGTGGTGTTTTCTACTGTCTTAGACACAGTATTTTTGATGAAGGCCAGGCACTCGCTTTCTTCTGAAATGAGTCAGGTAATTTCTGCAAAGACTTTAATCTTTGGCCCTGTGCTTGCTCATTAAATAATCTCCATAGTGCTCTAATAATTGAAAGTAAGTTATAGCCTTAATGAGAATTTGTCTAGACTGGTGCATGGTAACTGAAAGAAAACTTAGTGAGTTTAAATGATGTGTGTTTGGTACAGTGGAAAGTAATTTAGGAGTCAACTTATTAAAAAGGCACTGCAGTCTCTCAAGATTATTTATGCAGATAGGTTTTGAAATGCAATTCCCCACAGATTCTAGTAAATCACATGAGGCAGATTTCATCAGCCTTTACTTTTTTATATTAAACATTTTAATTCCCTTCCATTTATAGCATGCATAAGTAAAAAGTACTTTAAATAACGTTTTTATGTCCTTTATCAGAATATGAAAGRAAACATTTTATACTGAGGCAAGAATAAATGATAGTAATTTTTTTGCAATGGTATTTTCTAGGAAAGAACACTACCCTGTTGCTGAACCAATTAATGAATGATGCAGTTGACTTGCCTTGCTCAGCTTTTAAAACTAGAATAAGCCATYAGCTCCGTAAAACTTCAGAATCTAGAAAATACTCATGGATTAAAAAGAGTGAATTACTTGTATCCTAATAATTCTATAAGGACGTGATGTGATATTTTTGAATCCCACAATAGTCCTGTGCAAGATAGCTTCATGTGACATATCATAAAGGTCCRTTAGATTCTCAACCCTGACTAAGAAATGGACCTACTTCAGTGTTCTTTCATTGTAGACATGTTTGTGAAATATCGGAGGAAAGGATGAAATGGTTCTTTTTAAAAACTTTCAAATACACAGAAAATAATTAGAGTTCTTTTTAAACATCACAATAAATTTGTTTCCATAATTTAGCACTGGGTCCTGGGAAAATAAAAGTAAAACTGCTATTCTATGCTACTTAAGAAATCAGTGGGYAAATAGCCCTCCTGTTCCTGCCTATGTTTTTTGTCAGTGTCTCCTGAGTTTTCCACTAGGCCTTAACATATGACAACTCAGAACACAAAACAAGGGCAAAAAATGGAAAATATTAGAAAAATCGCAACTATTCTCTTTGATATTAAACAACTCATTTTGGCTTTTTTGCTTATTTTATATGGGAACAGATAATTGAATTTATTTTTACTTTTAATTCATAACTTCAGCACCAAAAACACTTTTTATTTTTTACCAACGTACTTTGGTGCGGTGGGGTGGGAGAAGCTGTGAGCAAGTTCTGTGGTGGAACAGAACATATGTATTTACTGGATTTAAGTGACTAATGAAAAGCCCCTCATTTCTGTAAATAACAAATTATAACTCTGATTTACTTTCCT